TTTTTTTTTTTTTATGGCAAACTTATTGCAATTAGGAGCCCAACTTTTAGGCTTGGCTATCATACTCTTAATTGCATTTTTGTGATGATTATCCTATGAGGGTATTGCATGTTCTGTGTTAGCAAGAGGATTTAGCATTTGTACAGTGTAAGATCACTTATCCTTTTCTTTATTATATTTATGAAGAGCCCCTTTTAAGTAATAATAAAAAAAATTCACAAAAAATGTGTCCATGGTAATCACACGTTTCTTATGGGTTGTGAGCTAACTACTGCCCTTTCGTTGCTACCATCAGAAAACCTGTTTGTGGAATATAATTTCATGATGCAGCTTTTTACCTTGAGCAGTTTTTGTTGCCTTTAGACCTTGAGAATTGCAGTTCTACCAAATTTGTTGTTTCAATGCAATAATATTGAGTTGTGGTGTAAATTCACGTTTGGTTTAAAATAATATTGAAACATAGTTTGAAGTTACATGCAGATTTCTCAAACTCATTAACAATTCATCAAGTTTCAACAAAGGAAATCATGACCGTGATGGTGTTTGGATATCTGATCTTAATTAGTATAGATTTTTACGAATTTATTTCTCCGTTTTCTCCTTAGTTTTAGTTTCGATTCAGAAGATACATCAAACACTCAAGACCGTGTTTGACCACATTTCCAAACACCTCAAAGTTCGTCAAAAATACTTCGCTGCGCGTCATATTTTCCACTCTCTTCTCGGTGTTTGGAAATGTGGTCAAACACGGTCTTTTGTGTCTGATATATTACATAACAGTGAGCACAAGACAAAGGAAAATAAATAAAACTGGTCTCAAACTGGGGAGGTACATTGGTAGGAAATACAAAACAGTAACTTCATTTTACCAAACAAAACCACTTAAGCTTCTGCAGGAAAAAAATCATGAAATTTGAAAGAAAACAATTGAGCTGTCAGGTGGAAAACACAACTTTAGGGTACCGAGCACACTTCCTCCGATTCAAATCACTGTTATCTTCATCTTGTAAATCTGTCAAAAGGTTATTAGTGCAGTCATCAAATTTTCCATTTGTATGCTCCTTGCAGTGAAGCTGTAGCAAAACTGCAAAACTAGATTTCCTTGTGAGCAGGTTTTTCCTGGAAATTTTGAAACTTAATACATGCAAAATACAGCTCCTGAATTTTCAGGAAATAAAGTACATGTGAAAATTAGTAAGAATTAAGAATAAGGTACTGATTGTACATGTAATCTTTTAAGATTCAACCTTGTAACAGAGAACTTCAGTCAAACACTGGCCTTCCCTCCAGACAGCTACAAAAAAGGCAATGTGACATACCATTTTAAGAAACATGGCCGGATGATACAGGTCAGTGTCACAGGAAATTTCAGAATACCGCAATACATATTATATACACGTGTTGCCCGTAATAAAATCTCATTAACTACCGCCATTAATTAATGTCCTGGACAATAATTTATTTTATTATATGACTTAGCTCCATGAGCAGGCAAAGTTAACCAAATCCTGTGCCGTGATTGGCTACCCGAGCAGACAAGATGGCGATATGTTGCCCGCTTGGGACTACCCACTGTGTCCCACCAGAAAAATTCCCCCGAAAGCCATATTACAAATCCTTTATTGACCAAGCTTGTACGGTCAAGATGGCTGGATATCGGCTTTGTTCTTTTTGAATGCGGGTTTATGGACTGAGACTCTGTCCCATATTTTTATATGTCTAAAACATAGTTGTAGTCATGGTGTTCATGTATGCCTCGTCATGATATCAACTCCTACATTGCATCGTCTCCTATCCCCCCAGGAGAATGAATTTTGTTCTCCTGGGGGAATAGGCCAGGAATCAAATTACACAAAGCTATACAAAGAGAATAAATCGTTACACAGTCACCCTCCTCTCTGTAAAAAGGTATTATTCCAGGTACTTAAAATGAGGACAATACCTTGTCAGATTCACACAAAGGCCGACAATATGTCATTTGCATTTAAGTATTTACCTTTCGCTACTTACAACGCAGAAAAACATGATTGTTATGAGAGTTGTGGAAAAATTGATAGCCCGTGTGAAGGATTTGTTGGCATAACTTGTGTTCAGTATCCTTGGTGTTTACATTGTATTCCTGTACACAGGTTGCACAGCTTCCAGCAGAGAAGTCAGATATCTTCATTCAGTATTTACAAGATAACATCCCTCCAGGTGTATCACTACACATGGAGCTGGTAAGGAAAGATTTCCAACTCGTTTGAATTTCTTTTACACTTAAAGTAAAGAAAAGTAAAGTAAAGTAAAACTTTGTTTAGCCGGGTGGCCCATTCAGCGTTGCGGCTGGCAACCAGAGGGGCCCTGGTAATAAATATTACAATCATAAACATTGCAAATATACATAGGTAAAAAATCGAATTTACAGTCCACTCCCGATAACTCGATTCTCGCGTTAACTCGAAGCAATTTTTGTTTCCCTTCAGGTCATTTTCTATATAATTTTACCCTCTGTAACTCGAACCATGAGCATGAGAGCTTTGTACCAGTAGCCAGTACCAGCAGCCCTCCATTGTTCTCTCTAAAAAACCTGCACCGTTCACAGTTCCTGGGCTTCTCCCTGTTGCTTTCCTTTGTTATATTTTTCACATTACGCTACGTTCCGATTTATACAGTAATTTAGAGATGTATGGTTTTATTTTCACTGGACTTCTCTATTCTGTAATTAAATTTGATTAAAATGTACACTGCATGAATGGAAAAACATTTTAAAAACACCGTTGTATTCCTTTTTCCGGTCATTTGTTCTCAACTCCCTATAAGTCGAACCTTTTTCAATTTCCCTTGAAGGTTCGAGTTATCAGGAGTCGACTGTATATTTAATAAGAAGCTAGGGAAATACAGGTATATGCTAAAAATGCTAAAATTTTGAATTTTTGTTGGCAGAGAATTAAAAAGCACTGACCTTCAGGGCACTATATGATAATTGTTATGTCGTTTATATTAGTATCAACTGGCAAACCTCGCAAATAATTGAAATCGGATTGAATCATCTTTTCTATTTTTTTCGTATTGTTTTATTCTGATTGACACCTAGTACATGAACACAAGATAAGAATGTGTGGGAGAACAAGGTGTTTATAACAAATACACACTTACCTTTTAGACATCTCAAAAACATGACCCTCATTGTTTTTGGAGGAAGTGTCAAGTTGTAAGGTTCTGGTCTACTAAAAAGTCACAGTTTCAAGCTCTCTATCCAGGGGCCCGTTTCTCGAAAGCCCGGAAACTCCTCAGGCCCGGAAAGCCATTTTCCGTTCATCTGTATCTAAAACAGAAAGGTGTGTACGCCTGAAACTTCTTGTATGCAAGAAGACAACTTCTGATCATATTAAGAATACGTGAATAAAACAGCTCTGTAATCATAAGGTTTGAGATTTTGCTATGGCTTCCCGGGTGCGAAAACTTTCGGGACCTTCGAGAAACGGGCCCCAGGGCTCCATTCTGCCACTAGTTGTTCAGCCAGTCGACTATAACAGGAGGTCATGGGTTTGAGCTTGGGCAAATAAAAGTTTGTTTGCTAAAGTTTGCTAACTTGAGAATTCTGGTCTGAGCACAAATGCTCGTAAATCCTTGTTGAAAAATGTCTAGTGGTCGCAGCGACTTAACAGATACTGGCAACCTGCACTTGAAAATTTAAAGACCGACAAAACAAGATCGTAGAAAAGTGAAACGGGAGTAAATTCTGAACAGGAATCAAGGAGTTATTACATGTATCTTTGCGCATTTTGGCGTTGTTTTACAGGTCAGAGTAGCAATAGTAGTTATGTTAGTACTATACCTAAGAATTTCATGGTTGCAAATAGCGTCTGGCTTTTTATCAACAGAAAAAGTGGCAAGATTTTGTTGCACCTCCTGATCCAAGACTTCTAGAACAAGAAAGGCTAGAAAGAGAAAAGATTGAAGCGTGGAAGAGAAAGAACCAGGAAGACAAATGAAGTAGCATACACAAAGGATTATGAAAGAACCCTAAAGAGAACTTGCCATGCAATATCCTCTGATTCTAACCCGAGCTCTTAGGCTTATGTAACAAATAACCCAGACTACATCTTAACTGAGGTGATTCTGAAATAATGGTCGAAGAGACGGAAAGTCTCGAAAGATAATTGGAAGAAGAAAAGTGGGATAAATTGTCAAAATGAACTGTTTCCGTGACCTCAAACCTTTTATTTACTGTTCTGGACATAATATTTTGGGTGATTCTGAACTGATAAACCTTCGGTACCAACTGAGTTTGCTTTAAACACGGAATGGTCTAATAGAGATGTCAGTGACGTGACGAGGACTGTGAGACCTGTAACGCGATATTAGTGCGAGTTTAGTGGTGGGCAAAAAGCGACGACAGCCACAGGTCTCGCAAGCTCCTTGGGATCCGTCAACATTATAATAACTTACATTCAGTCGCGTAACACTGTGGAAATATAACAGTTAGAATGGGAGTGTAACGATGTTTCATAACAATTCGAAATATGGAAAAGCAATCCAATATAAACGACTTACTTTGGACTCTTCTGTGGGCTGGTTGTGTTCCCGTGGCGTTTTGGGGCCGTTCAGTAAAAATAAAACTCACTGAAATCGCCTTGAAACGGCCCCAAAACGGCCCCAAAACAACGGAAACAAGTTGAAACATAAGTACTCAAAAAATGGAGTCTTATCCAAAATCAGCCATTGCTGAAGATGATTTACAAAACGCCTATTATAACATTCAAGAGAGAGAAATCGTTTGAACACATGCTTGTCAGAGCAAACTTTCGAAGACTATTAAATAGGACCCAATCGCTAAACTACATGTACACGTTGGCGAGTATGTGTACGTGTGGGCCCGTCAATAACCTTTTCAATCAGTGCTAGTTTGCCTCCTTTCCCCACCAAACAATTCAAACAGGTATTTAGTTATTGTAATGATTTCATTATCTTGATCAAGGTGTGTGGTTGAAAAATATTCTTTTGACGGTTTTGGCTATTTCTGAAGGCAAACTAATTGCTTCATCCTTTAGGTTAAACGAACCCCTTTTTGATGCGTGTAGTGAAAAATCCTATTTTTCAATACCGGTCACCTTTGCCTCTTCAGTATGATCATGATTGCGCTTCCAAAGCCATTTAACCTAGCAATGGTACAGTTTTGGCCCGTCAGTGCAGAGGCTAAGTTAGAAGCAAAAGTTTCCAAATAAACACTTTGCCGACTTTTTCATGCAAAAGTCTCCACACGAAACAAGCATCAGAGCAACATATGCAGACGCAGCAAGGTGTTGATAACCTGCAACCTTTGCTAGGAAAATGTCCTGACAAAAGGCGTTAATTAGCAACACCTTACTGCGTCTGCATATGTTGCTTATGTGCCACTTAATGACAAGCAGCCACCCTACCCTCCCTGCTCCTCCCCCAACCCCTACCATTAAGCTGGGCTGCAAAACAGTTTTCATTTTCTCAGTTGTAGGAAATAGGAGTGGCTGGTAGGAGAGATTTCTTGGATTTTTACCACGCCCCCACTGACCTGGCTGGGCGGAAAAGCGGAGTTTCCACTGTTGAGTAATCAGAATACCTCAAAGAGGCTGCATTTTCCAATTCATCATGAATTGATCATCAGCAAGATGCTTGAAAAAATTATCCAGGCCGTTCATCAGGACTAGTTTCTTTCCACGAATTGATTGACTCCACTCAAACCATAACGATGTCTTTGTCTCCTCCATTTTTGCCATCACGGTAAAATAACTTTTCTGTCTTTAATAATACCAACCATAAGGTTGTTTGTATACGGAAGGCAGAATGTTATTTTTAGTCTGGGGAAGGGGGAAGGGCAGACTCAAAACGTTGCAGGGCACAACAGCGATTTTAACAGGAAATCATAATCTACCAAAAAGTAGGAGGGTGGGGGACTAATTCACCCGTAAAGTTACAATGTTGCAAATAACAATCCTCAATTGCAATCTTAAAAAAAAAAAACACCAGAGAAAGAAAGTACTTCTTGTTGACTTTCACTTTCTGTTACAACTTTATGCAGTGTGGATCATTGATCATGGTTCGAGCGAGTCTATCAACATTAAAAGAAACGCATTAACCTTGAAAAGGAAAGCTTGAAGTTAGAAATTCAAAAGGGGTAATAATTTTGCGTCATTGCTAGAATAGCAGTAAAATGGAATAGCCTCCCTCAAACCCTCAAAAATACCCCTTTCTTGTTTTTTTTTCTCCTGGCAAGATCTTTGAACAAGGCTACATATTCATGATGACCTATATGGAGTACCTCCTGCATTTGCAGGTTATCAAATCAGTACCACGACGTTAATGTTATGACTTGCCTTGGCTTTAATTACATTTTACTGCAATAAAATAAATCAAAAAAAAGCTACCACACACACACAAACCCCTCATACAGACAAGCAGTGTTTCTTACACTATTGTAAAAAGTTCCACTCTGACCCACACTGCAGTACTACACATTGTGTGATCTGACTGACATTCAAAGCCTTGATGACGCTAGTCATTCAAGGAATGACTGGCAACTCTCCTTCTCCTGCAAAAGCTCTTTGGCTGTAGCATCCATTTTCTCACGCGAGAAGTCATCAATGGGCAGGCCCTGTACTATTTTCCATTCCTGGTCTGCAATAGTCACTGGGTACGAGTACACAATGCCTTCTGGGATACCATAGGAACCATCGGTACAGACACCCATGGACACATACGAACCCTGTAGACAAAGACAGATGAAATAAGTAATGCGATTACAATTAAGCAGTTTCTCATATTATATCAAACTATGTCGAAATAACCTCAGTACATTGTAAAGCACCATAAAATTATAAGGAGAACCTTTGATATCTTACCTCAGGAGTACCAAACCACCAGTCTCTCATGTGGTCACAAATAGCTTTAGCTGCAGACATGGCACTGGATAACTTACGAGCTGCAATGATGGCAGCACCACGCTTTTGAACAGTCTACAGCAAAAAAAAATGGAACACTTATCAGTAACATAAAACTAATGTAGGTTGAACTTGTTTCGATCTCTATGCGTGATAGTTGACGAGGGCGCGCATGCGATAGAAATCTCGAGCTCATAATCTAATATCGTTTCCAATCAGCGCGCGTATTTGCTTTGCGTTATTTTTTTAAATTAAATTAGCGTTCTCTTCAGAGGAATTGTTTTGGAGTTATTTATATACACTTTTGCGATCTCAACGATGGACAACAACACGCATTTGGATAGCAATATACCAGCAAGTTGACTTTTGGAGAACGCTTACTGACATATCCAAGACAGTATTTTTCATGAACACGATCTTTATGCCTTTATGTCTTTATTCTATTTATTATTATGCAGCATTATAGATGTTAGCCGTATCGCTGCTGTTAAGCGAAACCTGCTTACTTCGCACTTTCCGTTCGGAAGCGCTCGTTTTAAATTCTCATCTGCTTGACGATGGACTGTTCATAAGAGAATTGAGAGTCGAAAAATCAAAACCCAACTAACTTCAGTCTAGCCAATCATAACAGACATAGACAATCCACTGAACCAATCTAAACTGCAAATAAATCATATCTAACTGGCGTGAACTGCTGGGAAACCTCAGTGTGTGAACCAGCCAGTCACAAAATTCTCATGCAGCATAGTAGTACAGAACCAAAGCGAATGCTAATTACTTTTGACATCCAAGTGAACACCACTGTATGTGAAAGAAAAAAACTAAATACATAGCCACTTAATACTAGAATAACCACTAATCTCGAGACTATGCTGCATGTTGCTGAACAGTGACGTACCCTAACAAAATCTCCATTTAACCAATTGTCATCTTTGACAGCCTGCCTGATAGGCACGGCTGACCCATCTGCAGAGGGAATGGTGCCATGGTTGACATCAGGGTACTGAGTGGAGGAGTGGTTTCCCCAAATGATGACATTCCTCACGTCTTGAACTCGAATGCCAAGTCTGCTAGCAATCTGCATTAACCAGCAAGGACAACTGTCAGAGAACAGCCCTTTAAAAGATATGTCTCTTGCAGAATTTGAATCAAATTCCACAGACTTGCAGCCTAAATTGCTTTTTCATTGCTTTGCAAGTCTCAGGTTTATAGAAAGATATCAGTCTTACGGTCTATCACACGCTCTGATTCACCATTTGAATTCCCCCTTGTGTTTTCTTGTTCACACAACAGCTTTTCAGCCTGAAGTACTGTAGGCCAGGCAATAAAAGCAACGGTTGCATTCATTAGTAGAAAGGATTGGAGAACTCCAGTGTGAAGAATGCAGCAAATAACACACCGTAGGTCTCATGGCATGAAGAAAAATTGCTGGATGCTGCCACATTTTCTCAGAACTGACCTCCTGATGAACAACTGCTCCTCCTAAATTACTGCCACATCATATGTACTCAAGGTGCAAAATAACAGCAATCAACAGATATAAATACAGGACTCCCATGAGAGTCAGTTTCAAACAAAAAGGACTTTGGAGAATTAAAAACCACAACAAAAGATTAGATTTGTATATTTAAACATTTCTCTCCTCCTTGTCAATGTTATAAAAGAGATTACTGTTTACCTGTGCCTTGGCTCTGTTCATATCCAATCTAGTCAAACAAGAGAAGTTCTTAGCTGGTATGGAAGGTGCATTCATTTGTGCAACCATGCAGTTTGTGTTTGCTGGATTGCCAACGACCAACACCTGCAACATTCAAACAGTCAGCAAGCGCAATCTGTAATATTAAAGCTGTCTCTGCCAAAAATTATGTACTTTACTTGCTTCATGTCTGTGTAGCCCTACCTAATAACGGCTTGATTGCATATCAATTTTTAACAACCTTATTTACTGTATCTGGTGATTGTTAAGGTTGTAGCCAGTATGAGGCAAACCAAGGCACTTGCCTCAGTCATTTTTTTTTTCTCATTTCTGCAGTTTCTTTTTTGAAGGAGAAAAGCAAAAAAGCTGCCACATTCCTATAGGATGAGAATTTAACCGTGAATGTGCCTGAGCCATAATCTTTTTAGGGACATTGCCTCAGTCATAATTATTTTCTGGCTATGGCCCTAAATACCATCCTAAGTATGCCAAGAATCGTAAATTAAGGCAGTGATTTTATAATCCATATGTTTTGGCATGCATCATACCTTGACAGTTTTTTTTGCCGCTTCCTCCAAGGCCTTCCCCTGTGAAACAAAGATCTTGGCATTGGCCTTCAGAAGATCTTTTCTTTCCATTCCTTCCTTTCGTGGCATGGCACCAACCAATATGGCTACATCAATATTGGAAAATGCCACCTTTGGATCAGCAGTTGAGATTATCTCTAACAAATAAACACAGAGTAACTGTTACAGTATGTATTATCTTGACTACTGATCAACCACTGCCTCATAACCCCTGCTACCAGCTCAAAGTTTTCAATAATTTTCTATTATGTACAAAGTGCCATGCAATTCTTTTAATAATGTTAAAATATGCAAATAACAACATGTCACTATTACAGGGCATTTGACAGGATGGGGTAGTGCAGATCCGCATAATTTGCTAACATCCACATCCTCCATATAAAACAGAAAAAGTGTTTCATATTAGCCATAAAACAGCTGTTTAACATCCCCACAAGCAAAAATTGTGAAGTTGAAGTAGTTTTTCTCCTAAAACAGCGACAAAAATATGCCATTTCTTCATGACAAAATTTTAACCTCCATGCATTCCAACCAACTTTAGGCGAGAGCCTGGAAACTAGTTTTTCACTGTCCAATGTAATGCCTGGTTACTAAGTTACGGATGTTCCAAAACAGTAACAACGAATTCTTCACACAAAATTTTACGAAAAACCTGTGTTAAATGAAGAAATACCTGTCAACAAATACTAGAAACAGATCGAGCATATGTCCAAGTTGGCGAGCATGATGTTTAATAAGTTTATTCAATTAAAGAGCTTAGATTGTGGGTAAGACTTTAAAGTGCTTTTCGTTTCACTCTTACTCAGTACATTACAAACGGTTTATTATCAATTTTGATAATCACTGAAATTTGCACATAATCCAGTGTGTTTTCCATATAATTGACACAATTTTCCACATTTTCCCCCAGAAAATTTCTGCATAATTTGGTTTTTTTTCCCACACCCTGTCAGATGGCATGCTATTAATGGCAAATTCCAGAAAGTGACCCCCACAAAATAAACAATGCTTGCTCCAACTATTGAGCCTGTAACCATGTACTATCTTAAAATCAGACAAAGAAACAAGACCATTATTGTGACATTACAAATAACAGGTCAGAGAACCTCCAACACCCATATGGAATACAACTGCCACTTTCACCATATGCTAGATAACATAATCCTGTGAACAATCAAATGAAATTGTTTCATTTGCACCAAGCCTGTTTTTTTTTCCTATGTAGCTCTTGCCCATTAATTAAGTTACTGTACACGTACCTTGTAACAAAGGAAAGGCACAGTCCTGCAATTCCATCACGACACCTTCCAACACACTCATCATGGGCTGGATATCCAGCAACAGCAGGGTCAATGGCTGCCATCAGAAAGATTTTATTAAATAAATCCAACAACAATTTTATGACATTAACGGTGAGTAGTGCTAGTGGTGAACTCACATAAGATGTAGCTGATTCTCATTGCATTTGCTGGTAACTGCAAAAATGTGGTGAATTGTGCTCTCAGACAATTACATGTATATCTGAGCGAATTCACAAAAACATGCCCACTAGGTTTTCTTTGCCCAAATCCAGGCTAAGCCAGCGACATTAAACCCAGGGGGGCTCCATTAAGGCCAGGTTGGGCACATGGCCCAATGACTGGCCTATCTGCTGGTGGCTTGCTAGCGGCCAGCTGTCAAAAGCAGGGGGGAGGGGAGGGTGTCTTGTACTGACACCCCAAACTAGCTAGACCTTGAGTTTTCAGTGTTAAATAAGCTTGATATTGACTGTGTTTCTGGGTATTTTACTCAGTTGTTTGACCTTGTTTGAGGCTGCTGTGTCGACATGGCACCCTGCTAGAGTGGTCCATGCCATGTGCATGTGTGAGGGGCCAATCCCCTAGCCAGGGGGGTGGTCAGAGGACTTCTGGCCGCTGGGACTGTCTTTGAGTCAATGCGGGCGTGTTTTTGCGAATTCGGTTAGATATATAACAAGGCTTAACCTAAGCAACATTTTTTGAATTTTAAATAAAGATATACAGTTTTTTTTTATTGTCAGTAAAACAACATCCATTTGTTAGTAATACCTAACAATGATATTATTAGTACAATCATCATCATCATAATTTAAAACACAAAATAATAATGTCGAGCCTCTCCCGAAATGCTGGCAGGATCTAAAATGATAACACATAAGTAACATAAGGGAATGGCTTTGTATGCCTTACACCCGGCCAGCTTTTAGTTGAAACAACACAAAGAAAAAACTTTGACGTTTAAGGCAAATCATATATTGTACTGTTACCATTCAATTCGAGGATGCTTGTAATTTAGGCTTGTAATTAAGGCTAGAGAAGAACATAGATGTCAGTAAAGTTCAATACAGTATAAATCAATATGTGATCAAAAGCTCAAATTGCAACATTTCAGTAAGCATCTGACATGGTCTTATGTTTATCTTTGGACTCTACAATGGTCTACCAGTGGAGTTGAAAATCACAGGGAAATGAAGAGAAAGAAAAATTAGTTCAAAATGCCAGAAAGTTTGTAATGACTAAGTTTGAATCAGCAAATAGTAAATGATTGAAGAAATAGCAAGTTCAGATCCAAGTAGTATGTAACATAATTAAGTAACTTACTAAGTAGTGTAGTAGTGTGTGTTAGTGTAATATACAATGTAGGTGTGGAGTCAAGTAGTATGTAATGTAAGTAAGTTATTTTATAGTATGTGTGTAAAGGTTTCTGTTTTTAAATGTAATGAAATGAATGTAATGTAAGTAGAGTAAAATCTGATCACCCAGATGACTACGTAGCTTTACATGATTACTTTATTGTACATTGATATTTGTTTGAGCTACATAATATTTTGGATCCATACTCAAGGATCTCTCAAATGGTGTTAAAGATATCATGTAAAGCTACATTAAGTCGTCTGGGTGATCAGGATACACAAATTCATGAAATGTAACTGTAATCTCACTTATTAATAATGTACTGAATTAGTCTTAGTTGACAGCAAGTTGAAGCCCACTAAATCAAACTTGGTTGATGGTTATGATCAATTTTGTGACTTAGACCTATTTTTCCTTGGATCTGAGCCTTTTTTAATTATTTTATTTTAATTACATTACAATCATTTCATTACATTTAAAAACAGAAACCTTTACACACACACTATAAAATAACTTACTTACATTACATACTACTTGACTCCACACCTACATTGTATATTACACTACCACACACTACTACACTACCTAGTAAGTTACTTAATTTTGTTACATACTACTTGGATCTGAACTTGCTATTTCTTCATTCATTTACCATTTGCTGATTCAAACTTAGTCATTGCAAACTTTCTGGCATTTTGAACTAATTTTTCTTTCTGTTCATTTCCCTGTGATTTTCAACTCTAGTGGTAGACCATTGTATAGTCCAAAGATAAACATAAGACCATGTCAGATGCTTACTGAAACATTGCAATTTGAGCTTTTGATCACACATTGATTTATACTGTATTGAACTTTACTGACATCTGTGTTCTTCTCTACCCGAAATTACAAGCCTAAATTACAAGCATCCTTGAATTGAATTGTAACAGTACAATATACATTATGATTTGACTTAGTGTCTGGGTTGGTTGTCATGTACACACAAAACTTCCAAACAAAGCAACACAAATCAGTGTGGAGCTACATGTCACTGATCAGTGAAACATTCTCTTGAATGGGGGAGAATTCTTGTATATAATTATTGCATTTACTTCTAATCACTGGTTTTTGGGTTGAAAAATCAGACCCATCCACTCTGTTTAGAAACAAATTACTTTTGCTTCTCTTTGTTAATGGCCAGTAATTTGAACAAAAAACACGACATAAAAAAAGTTGTGTAAATATGATATGCTTGTACCTGATTGGTTCCAAACACATCTCCTTTGCAAATAGAATACAGAAGTGAGTATGCAATCTGCCCAGCAGCACCAGTGATACAAATACGCAACGGTTCTCCCTACAAAATACAGCAACAAAATGATCAGGGAGCAAATTGACCAAAGAGTAATAGATCCTCTTCAAGTCTATTAAACAATTAGATTATGAGCCCAAGATTTCTATCATATGATAGTTGAGGAGGGCACAGTATAAATCTTCTAGTCGCTCAAAACTTTACCTAAATCCTCTTAACAGGCACTTCAAAAATGCCAAGAAGTGGCCATCATTTTGTCAACAAAATTGTTAACTGATTTTTGTTCATCTAACTCTAATTTCTATGTTGAGTACAATAAAGTTGTTGTTGTTGTTAACAAGGACACACTGCTATGCTACTCATCATCTATTACAGAATAGATAGTGAGTAGCGTAGACAATCAGAAAACGGTATTCTTGTCAGAACGCCAGTAGATTTGTACTAATATTGGTTGGATTTCACCAAGCCATCATGCTGCCCACAAAGAAGGCAGTATGGACAAAAGTTTCTGGACAAGCTGGACAAGCCCTCAGACCTTTAAATAATGAATTGCAGAGATGCCAACCTAAAAAAAACCAAAAACTGGGAGATCGATAATTTTAACTTCCTGACCCAAAAAAAGACATTGTCTAAAGTAAAGCTTGCTGATACAACCACAAAAAAGCATCAAATATTCCAACTTTTTCCTGGAAGAAGCCTAAAATCAACCAAAATAAAAAAACTTACTTTACATGCTCCCCTTTGTATCACAGAAATTTAGTGACATGCACAGGAGACCAGGAAATCTGGTCAGTATCCAGGAGACTCCTGGATAATCTGGAGAGTTGACATACAAGTATGGAAGGGTAGAGTACTAGCATAACGTAAACTTACTTAATGACCCTCGTTTAGGGGATTCATTAACATTTTCAGCAGGAGGGCTGGTTTTCACAGGTTGGCAAAACTATCTGATCTGAAATTCTTTATGCGAAAAACATTCTTCTAGGTGGTCAAACATAGCTGGGCAAACTTGTCCTCACCGCCAGTTAATTTGCCCAGTACCCGGCCCCTTAATTATTGAGACCCCTGCTCATTACTTTCGGAATTCACAGCCTTTGAGGCTTGTTTCTTTCAGGGGGTCATTACTTTAGGGGAGCAAAAAAAATTATATAAGGTTGGTACGACTGGGCTCTTCTTCCAGTTTAAATCTATATTGGTGGCACATGGTTGGGCTCTTCATGTCTACACCATGTTGTCAGTGGTCGGCAGGAAAGCTAGTTAGATACCACCATAAACTGTTTGTACTTCATGACACACTGCGGTTAGTTTGCTGTAACAATATCTCACTGCACTGGCCAAGTTTTCAATTTAACTTTGAACAAATGTTCCTTTTAATACACTCATGTTGAAAATGATACTATTTTGAATCAAAGTCTCCTATATTTCATTCCTGTTACTCGATGAAAATTCTACAGGTTTTATTTTAACATCAACACAACATTAACTGAAACGTATGTACGAATTAAAGGACATCTCATCCTAGAAATTCTTTCAACACACTGTAAAAAAAACTCTTAAAACTGTTTCAAGAGTTTTTTAGTGTGTTGAAAGATATCTAGAACAAGCGGTCTTTTAATTTGTACATGTATACATTTTTCAAATTCTTTTCTAGCCTCAGCAATGGACATTGCTTGAACGAACTGTTACAGTAACTGATGAAGCACAAATTGACATTTCACGACACTTTATAGCATAAGAAATATCTTCCCTTGTTAAAGAGTGACTTAAATTAAATTACCATACAAAACTTTGACCTGACTATTGACTAGAAAAGTAAATATACTATTGAACCTTGGTCTCACTATTTTCGGGGGCAAGAGGCAGGGATGATCGGGGATGGGCTTGGTTCTTTTGGAGAGGCTACTTTCGGCATTTATTAGAGGCCACATTTTTTTATATCACTTTCAGGGGCTCACTACTTTCAGGGAGTCATTACTTTTGGAAGTTTAGGACGCTTTCAAAAACAGCCTTGAGAAAATATGCACACTGATTGGTTACAAATTGTGTTTCTATTCAACAATTAGATTATGAGCTTGAGATTTCTATCACATGATGGTTGATGAGGGCGCAGCCCGAGTCAGCTATCCCAAATAGAAACTGAGAGCAAATAATCTAATAATTGTTTTAGTATAAATCTACCAGTTTTTCAAAACTTTATCTAAATGCTCTTCAAAACCCCAAAGAAGCGACCATCATCTTGTTAAAAACCGCACACTGTTATGCTATTCACTATCTATCACAGATTATAGTTCACCACTAAATTTTCTCCGATTCTTATTGGTTTAAACTGATCACGTGACGCATTAGTGTTCGTCCGCGGAGAGACACTATCAGCCCATAGTGCCCGTCCGAGGAAAATACCCGGATGGATAGTACTCATCTGTGAAAATATTTATGTCAACAAGCGGGCTTATAGAAAATAAACAATTGAATTTATAATGAGAAGGTTTTTTTTGTTTTCTTTCTCAAATTTTACGTTTG